AGATAAGTCTCTCTATATAAATACATATGCTTCACTGGTTCTCTCAAGAACCCAGCCTAAGATACTCCCCAACCAGCTGCTGGGTTGTGTCCAGCATTCCCTTACTTACAACAAACTGTTTAGTTTTAACTGTTTTTGAACTTATATATATGGAATCTTACTCACGTACTTTTCTGTGACTTATTCTTTCACCAACATTGATTTTGAGACTCATTATATTAATGTATGTGGCTCGTTTGTTGCTGTCGAGTTGATTCCGACTCATGGCAAACCCATGTGTGCAGAATAGAACTGCTCCATAGGGTTTTCATGGCTGTGACCTTTCGGAAGCAGATCACCAGGCCTCTCTTCTGAGGAGCCTGGGTGGGTTCGAACTGCCTACCTTTCAGCTAGTAGTCAAGTGCTTAACCATTTGCATCTCCCAAGGACTCCCGTATGTGGCTGTAGGTCATTAATTTTCAATCCTCTAAAGTGTGAATATTCCACTGGGTGAATATACTACAATTTATTATTCAGTCTACTGTTTATGGACATGTGAGTTGTTTCTCTCCTTCCCTTCCTTCCTTCCTTTCTTTTTCCTATTACAAACAGCAGTGCTATGAATGTTCTTACAAATAGCAGTATTATGAACATTCTTGTACGTGTCTCCCAGGGCATGTGTGTAAGAATTCTCAGTATAGATACCTAGTGGTGGAACTGATGGATTGTAATGGCTTAATTTTCTATAGGGAGATTATGTGACTGTATTACTTATATAATTAAAAAAAGAAAGAATAGAAAGATGGGATGGCTTCATAAGAGTGAAAGGGCAGGGGCTGGGTTTTCTCTCAACTCTGCCACAAAGAGCAAGTCACTTCAGATCCCTGGCCAGCGGTTCTGACATCTGTAAAGTGAGGGGGTAGATACATGGGATCAGAACTGTTCCTTTTAGCTCTGCTAGTCTGGGATTCTAAACTGGCTGCAGTAGTGAGACAGGTGACTTCCTGGAAGTAGTTCTATCCAGAAGCCAGAAGGAGAGGGCCTGGGGTCCACATAGGAAAGAACTCTGCCTTTCTAACCAACCAGTCTTCCGTTGAGCCATTCTGACTCACGGTGACCCCATGTGTGTCAGAGCAGAACAAGGTTTTCAATGGCTGGTTTTTCAGAAGTAGATCATCGGGCCTTTCTTCCAAGGCACCTATGGGTGGACTCAAACCTTCAACCTTTCCATTAGTAGCCGAGTGTCTTAACTGTTTGCACAGTCCAAGGACTCCTCTGCATCTCCAGAAACCAAAAACAGACTAAAGGCAATTAACTAAAAGTCAACAGTAGTGATGTGGTAAATGTTAAACAACTGGCTGTCTGTGGCCGGGTGCCCTTGATTCGTAGCATTTGATGATTTATGTGGTGTAAATACTCCCACCATAGCCAATTTCAAGCTACCAAGATGTAACCAGCTCGTAAAATTCCTGACAATTTAACAATCTGGCTTTGGCTAGACAGTAGCAGCTGGCTCCTGCGTACTACTGGGAGTGAGCTGGCCCTGAGAGGGAAGGTTACAGGCTAGAAGGGAAAATGAAGGCAGCAGTTACTTATAGAAACTCATGGTGTTTGAGACTCAAATGAGAGTTGTGGGAAGTCACAAGTAATTGACATGGGCCCCAGCATCGCTTACTTTCACTGCAGGGAAGATTACTATACTGGTTGTGTGTGCAGTCGACACCCATCTGGGTGGGCAAAAGGAACTGCTCAGAAAAAAAGGGAGTAGAAAATGCCAGGTGACCAGGAGCCCATTGTGAGGGGAACAGCCCCCCACCTCCTTGCAAAATCTTTTTTGGCCTTATGAAGAAATCTCTTCATATGAATAATACATGGAGCAGACATATTGCACATGCACAGCTTGTTCAATGTAGCGAATTGTTCTGCCTCTTTCACACACCTTTGGTTTAGTTTCCAGGTTAACTGGCTCTTTTAACCCCATTTCTTGGGGGCTTGCTGCCTCAAACACCCAGGAAAGAAGGGAAGGAATTAACATTTATTGAATACCCAAGCTAGGCAAGGCATTCCATTTATATTATTATACTTAACTCTCCCAACACGCTGCATGGTATGTGACACTGTCTCCAAGTAGCTGAAGATTCAATTCAGAGATTTCTGGACCGTGCCCAAGGTGAGCCTGGTAATAACTGGCACAGATGCATACGGACCACCAATCTGTCTGATTCTGAAGGTCGCGCTCTCTCTCCCTCCACACCAGGATCCTCTTGTCTCAGGGGGGTTTGGGCCCCAAGCACACCCTCAGTTCCAGATCAAGACTGGTCCCTTTACAGCCACGTCCTCCCCTTGCCTGCTATCTTTGAGACTTTCCCTTCACTAGTCTTGCTCTTCCCTGACTACACAGACTGCCAGTCAGAAAACCTCAAGTCAGCACTTCAAACTTTACACAGATCAACTTATATATTTGATTTCAGAAATTAGCTGACCTTAAACTGCATTTAATTCCCTAAGCCTTAATATCACATAAAATCATGAGAGTCTGTGAGCCCCAAGAAAGAGTACTCAGGGAAGAAAGCGCCATAACAGCACCTTTTAAAGAAAATGTGGCTCTCAGCACCTACAACAAACACCTTGAGATGCTACATAACAATATTCTTTTACATGAGGATCTCTCAAATCCCCAGGTGCCAGAGAGGCAGGGGGAATTGAAAACTGTTGGGTTGAGTACTTGAGCCACCAATGAGGCGTTGTCAGTACCAGGCACCTCGGGGCTGAGGTTTTAATGCCCACATGAGTCTAGAAGATAAGACGTTGGCCCCACCAGACAGGGAATTGGAAAAGACACCCTCCCACATAAAGTTAGAGACCACTGATGGAAGTCTAGAAGAATGCACTCACCAACACACAGCCTCAACTGCTAAGCTTGTCTTTCTGTGCCGTCTGGGTGGGGGAAATTTGTCTTGAAAATTTGTAACTACAGGCCTAGGATTCAAGTTTATATTGCTAGCATGGTTTGGAAACCTCTGCCCCCAAGAAAATAACGTAGAAATTGGTCTCAAGCCAGTAATATCCCTGGAGTGTCTGACAAAAACTACTCTGAAGAAACAGGTCTTCAATCTAGTCCACCAAGTATTCCTACTAAAATAGGTTTACTGAAGATACGCTCACAGTTCAAAATTAGAAAACACACATGAAACAGACCTAGAACATCGTTTTCATCTAAGTCAGTCACTAAAACCAAGTATTTGAACTTAAACCCAGATCTACTAGTCATTACGTATAAATTATTGAAGCAAGAATTTTAAAAACAATGAAATCTTAAATCACATTGCTCTTACTAAATATATTATTGTTAATGTTTTGTTATGTTGTAAAAAATTATATATTAATATCTTAGTGAGAACAAAAAGGTTTTTTAAGCTGTAAATAAGTAAAAATACTATCTTTAAGAACTGTTTTTCCCATCTTTATCTCTTCACACTGATCCTGAGGTTTAAGGATTCAGTGAAGATATTCACCATAACCTAGGAATAGGGCAGGACTGTAAGTGACAGAAAAGTCCTCAGATCCCAAAGGAAATCCTCCCTGAGGGGGGAATTCAGGGACCCTACCTGACAGATAGTGAAAAAGGTGGTTTTGCAGAAGTTCTTCAAATCACACCCATATGTGGTTTTCACTTGAGCAGACCCTGATGAGGAGCTGCAGAGGGGGCTGGGGAAAGGCAGGGGGATGGAAAAAATGAAGAGAAAGGAAACCAAAGTGAGACAGAGAGAGCACAGATCTAACAGATCTAACAGGCAAGAACACAGGGGGTGTGACATTTTATGAGCAGTGTGGAAACAACTGCAAAGCCCCTCTATGAAAAATGTCCTGGAGAGATAGAAATAAGCCACCTCACACCTCAGTCACTGGGCAAATGAGGAGGGGTTTCTGATCCATGTGTTGCCAGGGCTCAAAGAGGACAAAGTCCAGCTACTGCCAGTATCCCCAAATCAGTCTTTCCAGAAGAACCAGAGAAACAGGGAAGAGATGACCCACATAGGAAGTTAGTTACATTTAACCCCAAATACCCAAGGCTGGGAAAGGAGATGCCCCCGGTGCTCCAGGACACCAGTGACTGACACAGCTAGCGGTGAGGAGGGAGGAGGTAGAGAAAGCTCAGTGAGGCAAGTGAGCAGGGGTCTGAGAGGAAAGGAGGCAACTGGCAGTGGGCAATACCTCTATCACAGGCTGGCATGAAGACAAAATGAGATTGCCTGTGATTTCTACAAGAGAAGAGAAACAGCTCTACAGCCCCTTGCTGCAATTCTGAATAATTCTGTAGCAAATTCTTTTGGCCATTAAATCAGATCTCAATGGATGCAAAGCTAGTTATAATTATTATTCATCCCACTTAGTGTAAACACTCAACTGTTTCACTACAGAAATATTGTATTTGATTATAAGTGTTGCACCAGCTCCAAGAGGGTGTTTTGTAATATGTGGTGCTAGTTTCTTTCTAAAACCTGAAAAAGTCTGAATTCCAAAACATATCTGATCCCAAGAGTTCCAGATAAAAGGCTGTGAACCTATACTCACTTCTGGTTCCCCTTCCTTCTTTAAGCTGGTTATCTTTGTGAAAGAAGAGACGTGGGGAGGGGAGACAGGACATCAGAATAGCTTGTGAGCTGTGAACAGGGATGTGTTTGGGTATCTTTGTGTACCAGTACGAGAAGAGAAGTGGGCAACTGTGTAGAACTAACATTTGGTAAAAGAGGCAGGCACAGATAGGTTAAATTCTTCATGAGCACGAGAGGGACGGAAACCAAAGGGAGGCTGGTGTGTTGGACGGGCATCTTTGAAGAGCAGCAGGTCTGATAGGGTTTGCTCTTTAATACCCTCCCAGCACACAGAGAGCAGAAGAGGGCGGAGGTTGCTGCTGTGAGAGAAAAAACAACTACAACAGACGTTCTAGGATCACAACTGCCATCAAAGGTCGACTTGCCACCTGAAGCAGGGCAACTCGGTGAGGAACCTCGGCCACTGCCAAGGAGGTGACAAGAAAGAGGCAGCAGCGCCCAGCTGGGGAGTGCCAGCCCAGAGAGGCCAGCAGTCAGTCAACAGGGCAAAGAGCTCCCTGGGCAGGAGCCATGGCCTGGCCACCCCCCTGCTGGCTGTGGGTTCTGGGGACCCTGGTGGGGCTCTCAGCTGCCCCAGGCCCCAAGGGCTGTCCAGAGAGGCACTACCAGGCTCAGGGAGACTTGTGCTGCCAGATGTGTGAGCCAGGTAAGAGAGCGGGCCTGGGCAGGAGCTGAAGCAGAATGAGGGAGAGAGCACCCGGTTAAGGTAAAGGGAAGCAGAGGGTGAGACAGCTCAAGCAAGAAGAGGAATCCTGCAGCAGCCGGGAGGTACCGCCTTGAAGAGGCAAAGAAGGGGAAGCGGCCTTCCATGGCCTTGACGCTGGATCCTGTCCCACAGGAACGTTCCTAGTGAAGGACTGTGACAGGCATGGAAAGGCCGCTCAATGTGAGCCATGTGTACCAGGGGTCTCCTTCTCGCCAGACCACCACACCCGGCCCCACTGTGAGAGTTGTCGACACTGTAATTTTGGTGAGATGGGCAAGGGGACCAAAGGGCTTGGGGTGTGTGGGTGGTGACACTGGAGAGCATTTGGGGAGCAAGGCTGGAGAGCTGGATGTGAAGAAGCAGAAAGGATGGGGAGTAGAGGCTTCAGTCTTCCAGGCTGATGGCAAGTGGGGCCCACACCACAGGGTTGTGGGAGGTAGGGGTGTATTGATATGGGGAGAAATCTAGTATTTCAGGGAAGGGTATGAGCAGAATTTGAGGGATTGGTCAGAGTGTATCGCGGACAGGATTAAGACGATAAGAGCGGGAAGAGACTCTAAGACCTCACATTTCAGACAAGCAACTCCCGACTGATGAACTGGTTGTGTTCCCAGAGCGCATGTTGGTAGACTGGCTGTTTGAAACTTAGAATACATGTTTCTACGGAAATAACACTGTAAGGCAGTGGAGAGCAACCTTTTTTTGTACAAAAGCCAATTTAGGAAAATGAAAATGTACGTGACCTGTGTTTTTCATATTTCCTTTGTAATTACATCTTTCTTAAAAAATTAAGAAATGTAATATCTGCAGCTGTGCTGATGATTTCGTTTATTTCTCCATTTTGGTCAGAATTTCAGAAACTACACACCAGTATACACTGAAGTACAGATTTTAAAGCAGCCCCTTCGAACAAATGTTCTTCAGAGACAGGATTGAGAATCGTAAACTACTTAACTATAAAACGTGTTTGGTCTCACTAGGCTTTTTAACACTGCATTCTTAAAAAAAAAAATTTTTTTTTCCACTGCAAATGAGTCAAACAGCAACATCTTTAATACAAAAGACATATTCCTCAGTCCACTTATTTCACAAGTAAGATTGTTAACGGATAATTTTCTCTTCTTGGCAGCCCCAGCAGGGTTGAAATGTTTTATGTCAAGGCCTCTACCACTCACTCTGCGGGGGGGCCCACCAGAAGGCCTTTTTCCCAGGACTGAGCCCATCATCAATCCCTCCACTGTGTTCCAAACCAGCCCAGTCTATGATCTTTCTTTGTAAGACCCAGCCAATAGATTCCCAAAGCACGCAGGCAGCACCAGGTTGCAGAAGGCCCCAGGGTATTGCAGGGAGGAAAAAGACGGGGAGGAGGCTGAAGGCATTTGGCCCCCTCTGGACCTCAATATTCGCATCTGTTTAAGATACAGAAGTGCCTGAAATTAGATCACAGGTTGTACACGGTGAACGGAATGCCCAGGTCTCTGGATACTCACGCCACTTCATCCATTTCAGCCACCCCGGCCTCTTCTTTAACTATTCCCTTTTCCCTTTAGGAGACACCCTCATGATCACCCCTCCCCAATATTCTCCACCTTTGCCAATCTATCTCTTCCCTTCCCCCACTCCCCAAACTGTCCACTCCTCCCATCACTTTTCCAGGCTCTTCTCACTCTTCCCTTGCAGCTCCTTGTCCAGGCTTGCTTACAATTCCTGGTAACCACAAAGAAACTCATCTCTAGTAGGAACTTGAGTCAGAATTCATGAGAAAGAGCCCACAGGGGCATAAGGATGAGAAGATGGAAACTGTCCCTCTCCCTTACCTGGCAAAATGCACACCCTAAGGGAAACTGTTCAAGTTGACAGCAGTCTTTGGCATCCTCTAACCTTCCTTCTGACACCCCTCTTCCACCTGTCAGGGTTCCTCTCCCTGGGTCCCCATGAGTGCACTGCCCTAAGGTCCTACCAAGCTCTACTCAAGCTGGCCCACCTCCAGATGCTGCTGCTTGCCCCAGAATCACCCTTCTCTCAACCCCAACCACCTGCGAGCTCAGCCCAGCCCAGCCAGGAGCAGGCCAGTCCCCAGTGTAGCTGACTGATAGCCACCCAGCACCCAACCCCTACACTTGAGTAAAATATATATTTTAACAGCAAAGGATGTCAGTAATCAAATAACTCTCTAGTAAACTTAAAAACATATCAGGAGTCATAGCAACACTATTCCTAATTGGTGAAAACTGGAAATTACCCAAATGCCTATTAATAGTAGAATGAATAAATTGTGGTATATTCATACAATGGAATACCATACAGCAATGAGAATTAACAATCTGTAATTGCACTCAACAATATGGATGAATCTCACAGAATCGAGGAAAAGAAGCCAGACACAAATTAGTACATGCTGCATGATTCCATCTCTATAGTACACAAATAGGCAAAACTAATTTGTGGCGTTAGAAGTCAGGATAGTGGCTACTCTTGAGGGGTTAGTGACTAAAAGAGAACATCAGGGATCTTTCAGGGTGCTGGTCATCTTCTGTTTCTTAACCTGGGTGCTGGCTACACGTGCACCTAACATGTACAAATTCAGCAAGCTTTACATTTACATGTATATCATACTTCCCTACAAGCATACATACATATTATACTTCAATAAAAAGTTGTATCAGTGAGTTTAAGAGAGAAAATTATGTAAGCTGTATCTATTCTTCATGGTTTCTATTTCTGAACCTATGAATTTTCTAAAATGTTCAGGTTTTTTCCATAATAATAGCAATAATAGCTCCCTGGACAAAGGCACTGGGGGACAGTGAGGGAAAGCAGGCTTTGTGGGGTGGGGAGGTGGGAATAGAAAGGGAAGCCTGTCCTACAGGTGGACCTAGGATGGGGGTATGGGGAGAGGAAGAAGCAGGTAGACCTTGCAGGTTTCTGAAGGCCTGAGTGCCCATGCTTCTCCGGCCCTCCTCTTTCTCCAGGTCTCCGCATCCGCAACTGCACCATTACCGCCAATGCCGAGTGTGCCTGCCCCAATGGCTGGCAGTGCCGGGACAAGGAGTGTACCGAGTGTGATCAACTCCCAAACACCTTGTTGACTCGTCTGCCTCAAGCCCCAGGCCCACATCCACAATCCACCAGCTTACCTTACGCTGAAAGTAAGTTACAGGCAACCCTTTGTCCAGTCATTTGAGGTAAGGTTGAGATGCCATCCAGCACTCCCCACTACCACACCCACTCTACTCTCCCACACCTGAGCTGCCTGGTCAGCCTATCTCTGCCTTCCCAACTCATCCAGTGCCCTTAGGCCCCATGAAGCTGCCTGCTTACTCATCCTGCCTGTTTTTCCAGAGATGGCAGAGGCCAGAAGCATCAGGCCCATGCAGACTCTGGCTCATTCCAGGTGGCTGCCTGCCCCTGCACGCTCTACCCACTGGCCATGTGAGTGTCCTCCCCAACCCCCACCTCAGAGAACACACACAGCAGGGTCCAGGAGGGAAGCCAGACAGAAAGCTCCTAGGAGTAGGCGTAAGAGGAGCTGGGAAAAGCAAAATCTAGCCATCAGCAGAGGACTTGGTCCAATGGTGACGGTGGGGAGGTGGGCGAAAGGAGACAGGCAGGGGGACGGGAGGGCTAGGCTGAGGGGAGTCAAGGGTTAGGTCCTCCTCCAAACTCCCATGCGTCCCCTACCTCTCACAGCCCAAAGGTCCCTGTGTAGCTCAGACTGTATCCGCATCTTTGTGGTCCTCTCTGGAATGCTACTTGTTTTCACCCTGGGCGGAGTCCTGTTTCTCCACCAACAAAGAAAATATGGATCAAGTAAGAGACAAAATATAGGTGTGCAGTCCTGTTGCTGCACCCTACCTCACCATCTCAGCCCCACCGCCCCTGCCTCCAACCCACTGAAGCTCCCCCAGCTCCATCTGTGCCAACCCTGCATCCCTCCTACTTTTTTCTTTAGCTGTCAGTCCTCCCCCAATCTTCCCCACCTTTGCTCATCTGTCTCCCTTCACCCCCTCCCTACTGCTGTCCAAGACTCATCTGCCTCCCCTTCTGTAGACAAAAGAGAAAGCCCAATGGAGCCTGCAGAGCCCTGTGCTTACAGCTGCCCCAGAGAGGAGGAAGGCGGCGCCATTCCCATCCAGGAGGATTACCGCAAACCAGAGCCCGTTATCTACCCGTGAGCCAGCCGGGGCAAGGGTGGGGGTCATGCGATAAAGCCCTACCCTCTACTCCAGCCCACCTGGCCATTCAGAGGGAACTGGACCTGGCACCCCAACTTCAATACCATCCCCTCATCAGGACCCTTTTCTGTGTACAGGCTTGAAAAAGTGGCTTTATGAGACTGGCAATGACGAGGGCAAGTGGGAATGAGCTGCGAGTGGGAAGCAGGAGTCCCCGTGTTTCCTGGCCCAGCCACCTTCTTCTCTGGGCTGCAAGAGGGGTGGAGCTCTGGTTGTAAAACACACTTCCGGCTACAAAAGCCCCACACGCTGTATCGCTGACCTAGAAAATCGGCAAAATAAAGTGACAGACTACCACACGCTGCAGCTGTCCGGCTCTTTGAAATTCCAGTTCTAAAACCCAGGCTACTCCC